CCCCAAAACCCCAAAACCCCAAAACCCCACAATGAGTCAATATGAATTTAAAATTTATGAAATTATGATTAAAATAATGAAGCTTTCAAAATGTCTCACATTAGCAATCTCTAGTTTTCATCGTGCTCTTATGAGGATCTTTAATCTATTCATCATTATCACTTCCATCCCAAGTATCATTTTTTCCCTTTTGAGTAATATGCTCTAGCTAAAGAGTTTACTTTTTTATTCCTTATGATTTCTGGCTCTGCATTTTACTTTCATTAATTGATGAATAAGGTGTCGGATCTTTGCTTTTCTTTTTTGGTTACATAAATGCTTTTTTGATTAAGCTAGGCTCGTCATAATTTTTCTTTTAGTATTTATTGATATCATCTGCATCATACTCTATTTCAGGATACTAATTGCGTATCTATAGTTTTAATTCAATCTTTGGTTTTTACTTCATATGAATTGTCAATTAGTCTTCTGGGATTAATGGATCCTCTATATCCCATTCATCATATCCATATTTTTACTCTTCCAAGTCTATACCATCATCCTCTTCATCACTCTCCTTCACATTTTAGAGTTTGTACTTTTCTATCTATACTTCTCTGTCTAAAATATCTTTTTTAGCTTTTTCAATTGATTTAATATATCTTCTATGACTTTGATCCCAATTTGATCTTGAACCTCTCTTGTTTATAGAAGGTTAGCCTACCTATCCTTAATTTCTAAATTTAATTCTAGATTCTTCTTTTTGGTTTTAATGTGACTAAGATCTAAATTTCGTTAGCAAAACTGAAAATTTAGACAAACGTTGTCTGCCTAATTCAGGTGCTGCTTCGTCTTAGCCTAACCTTGCAGGTTAAGATTTAGATTGCTTTTTATTTTTTCTTGGACCACCTTTAGCTTTCCTCTTTACAGTTTTTTTTCCACCTCTTTTTATTTGGCCTCTTGATTTGATTTTATTGTAATTTACTTATCTTATTTTTAAATCAAGCTCTTATATTGTCATCAATTCATACAGTTGCATGAGTGGGTCAATACTGTCATTATTGTCCTTCGATATCAGCTTGATTTTCTTCTAGTGAATAAACTCATCCATTTCCTTCTCAAGTCTAATTTTCATTTATTGATCTTTCTAATCCATCTCTTAAATTTGAGTCTTATTACATGAAAGTCTTTGCCTTGAATAAATTTTCATCTCTTTTAAAGTCTATTTCCTAAAAACCATTTTCCTATGTTATTCTTATTGCGATGCTACAATATACTCTTTTTCTTTCTTGGCTTAATTGTATTCTTTCATTGCATTTTATAATTATATCTTATTATCTTTCTTGATAGCTTTATCTCTTTCAGCATCATATTGATCTTCAATTTTTCCCATCTCGTCGTAAGTTTTTTTTATTTCATTTTCTAACAATGCAATCTATGGTTTGAGTTTTTCTTTTGATTCTTTTTCGACCCATGTAAAAAATTATTTGGTAGCTCTATCTCTCAACTTACACTAATAAAACCCTCTCATTAATCTATCAATATCTTCTTGATTTCTTGCACTGTTTTCTTCAAACTCTCTTTCAATGAGGAATATTTTGAGGAAATTTAGATCAGTAGGTTTAGCAGTTACTTTGTGAAAGTTTAAATCGAAATTCCTCCAGAAATCTGAAGCTTTGCAGTCTACTTAAAATTTAAATTACTTTGAACTCTCTTAATTTGTAAATCTCAAGTCGAGCTTCATTGACTAATAACGCTCTTTCTCTCCTTCAATGTTCTCTCTGTCCTCCTCACGAACACTCTCAACAACAATATCTTGCAAATAATGTCTATTAAGCATTAGATTTTATTTTGATATTTTTGCCCTCTAATCTAGAGCTTAAGCCTGGCTTGCTGATTTTTCAATCATAACAACGCTGCCTTTATCTTTATCTTGCTGATTTAGCTATTTCTTTTGCTCATTGAAGTTTATCATATTAGCTTCAGGTCTTTTGAGTTGCTTTATTTCAGCCATTTAGCCAAATAGGTTCTCATCGTAAGTTCCCAAGACTTTAGAAAGAGCCTTTAGACTTTTGACTAGCATTTCCAAATTTTTCTCTCCATCTTTGATTTTATCCTTAATTCCTCCTATAAAGTCTTCTCGATAGAAAACAAAGATTCTCTCAAAGTCAAAAGATCTAAACTTTAAAACATTGTATGAACTGATCTTTTCATCAGTACATCCATACTTCTTAACTAAGGTATTATATGCCGATTAATCACTTATCAAGCCATCATAAAGATTAATTTTAACGTATTCGTAAAACTCCTGCTTCTTTTAGGTTATTGACTTCCTATCTAAGTTTGCATGAGGATTATGCTTCTTAATCCTTTCGAATTCATTAATGAGATATTTGCAATTTTGATTTTATATTTTTAAATGACAAGGTATAAGTTTTCTCACTCTTGGATGATACATATAGCAGTATAATTCCTTTATTTTCCCAATATTTTACTTAATGGGTTTATCTAATTTTTGCAAAATCTTCATGAAGTTTATCTACGGTGGCTTATCTATTAAAATTACTAGAATAAAACTTTACCAAAATTTGACTTCCACTCTCTAGGGACTTTAGTCAAATCACCCACATTTTAAACCACAGTAGTAATTATATCATCCTTCAATGCTTTTCTAAACTGAACTGGAAGATTCTCAAAGCTAGGCATAGCATGAGATCTATCAGATGCATTTCCTTAGTGCTGAGATAACTGAGACTATGTAAATCTCGCAGAGGCCTTGAAATCTTCATTATTACTCTCATTTTTGAAAGATTTAAAAAGCTTCTCCATAAATTTAAATAACTATTTTGAAGCAATTACTTATTTACATTACACGGGGTTTTGGGGTTTTGGGGTTTTGGGG